AACTACATGAAAAACTAAAAGTTTAAAAGTTTTAAATTAATTAATAACAGATACACAAAACCAAATTTTACTAAAGCAATATTTTACATTACTTGGCCAAAACGAAACACGTGCACACATCCACTCACTGCGCTGGCTGGAGGAACAGTGGTTAGTTCTATGTGACATTCTTCGGATATAAGTAATTATAAACATAAACACTTCAAATTTATGACGAGTAAGCTAAGAAAGTCTAGTAACCGAGTCCATTAGCCGACTTATTATAATTAACTAAATGTGAATCAAAAATTAAAATAAAATGCAATATTAAATTTATGCTTATTAAATAATAAGCGATAAAAAAAGCCTGGACCGTCGCATTGTGCCCCAGTTATTGTAATTTATAAGAAATGTCGTTTAGTTTACTTTATATATCGCGTATACAATCTCGACAAGCGTGATCCGTATTTGTCTTAAATTACGAGTATTTGTAAATGCTGTGACGGGCTTGGGAGATTTTCAAAATTAACTTTTGTTAATTTATTATATATAAAACTGTAAAACTCTTGTCGTGGACCTTGTGCCCGACATATAGTGAAAATATTATTTATTTGTTCGTAGGCTGGTTCGTGATGATGGTAACACATTCTAGTGACTGGACAAAGGGACTACTTCAAGTATATGCATTTTGCTTAAATGAATAATTATATTTAATTTAGAAATGAGTATGTACAAAAGAGATTTAGTCATATGAGAATAATTTGGTATAACAATAAATTGTAGTGTAGTTTAATATGCAAATATAATTATCAGAAAATGAACTTCAGTATTAAAACATTTTTAAATAAATTCAAGAAAACCTTATAACTTTGAAACTAAATCTTTGAAAGCATAATAAAACAAACATTTAAAAAATATCTAAAACAAAAATATAAAAAAACTTAAAATTGGTACCATAACTCAAAATTTGGTAACAACTCAAACATTTGTAACAACTCAAAAATTTGGTAAGGAACATTATAGTAGTTGCGTGGTCAGCGTTCATCAAACAATATAATTGTTTAACTAATAATTTCAATGCAAATTAATCTTTAAAAATAGATCTAAATCTCAAAACGTTATCCAATCGAGAATACAAAGGGTGATTTATCATCAAAATTAAATTGAACTTTAATAAAAACAAAACTTTGAACTTTTTATGAAATCGTGCACATTGTTGGAGATTTTAACACTTACCCCTTTGTGTCACAACACAAACACACACTAAACAGGCAACTGGCTAGAGGACTCTGGTCTTTTTTGGATCCTTCGATCTTTTATAAGTAAAGACCCCTCCAAAGGAGTTGTTTTCGCAAAATTGTTTACAAGTTACCAGTTTATTTGGGGAGTCGTAAAAGTATTTGTGTTTCCACCAAATTAGGCTTAATTAACTGTAATATGAAGATTTTTAGTGGCAAAATGTGCTTTTTGTTAAAATTAACAAATTTAAACCATGAAATTATAAAACTGGACAAAGACATCGTGTCCAGCCAAACGGCGCCAATATTTAACTGTGAAATTATAAACCTTGATTAGAATGGTGTGAAATCATAAAATCCAAGTTTCACAAGGACAACCTTGATTTTTACGACAATGACGATTGTTCTGATTCATACCAACATCTCCAAAAATAAGTAAATTTATCGCCCGTTACACCGTTAACTTGGTCATTGCTACTGAAAACTGAAAGTATCGGCAACAATGTTTATATTTCTGGCATATTTTTTAACCTTTAATTTAATAAAACATAACCTAACGAAAAAAGTTCAGGGAATTTTTATTCTTCTGCATCGAATACCAACAAACTTACTAGATTTTCTCCAACAATAAGTAAATTTATCGCCCGTTACATCTCCTCCCTGCTAGGGAAGCAAATGCTATGCTTTAATTAGCATACATTTGATTTCTGACCAGGCAACTTCCTTACCTAAAATTCCTAACTACTATAATCTTTCTTCTATCCGTTTTGAAACATGGATGGAAAGGCGTCTTCACATAGGAAATGTAGATCCGACCATATCGAGGGAGGATTCCAATTTTCTTGTTTGCCAACACAATCGAGTCGTGTCACCAAGGACTCCTTTTCATTAACTGTCTAGATTGAGATAATTTTGCAGTAACCTCAATCGATTCTCAAAATTCTTAAAAGTTGATGGTCCTTCAGCTAAGTTTTTTTTTTGTTTCGGACTTCAAGCTCGCTGGCATGTGGTCCTTCGGATAACATCATTCCCATGCTCAAGAGTTGACTCTTGACTATACCCACTCGATAATATGTCGATCTATAACACTCATTCCCAATGTGTGTTAGTAAAAGCCTTATACTAAAATCAAAATCCTAATATCTATTGTTAGTGAGAGTCCTCTTTTAAAAAAAGATTAATAATTGAAAAGTAAGACTATGCCAGCAGGGGCAAGTGTTTTAATCTCCGTGATATGCAGTAATAAGATATATATATATATATATATATATATATATGTATGCCGAATGGTAATATTGGGAACCTAAACACCGCGTAACGTTACTTTTGGGAATCAAATTGGAATTTCGGGGAGTTCCCCAAATTTCCATAATTCCGATTGCGACTTTTGGGAATATCAACTATTATCGACAACTGGCGCCACCACTTTCAATCCATATAACATGTGCAGTACTTCTGCTGCTGTACACTAGGTAGTGCCTCGTCGTCTGGTAGCTTGTAATGATACTTTTGAGATTTTTAATTGTGAACAACGGTTTTCCTTAACGAAACTTCAATGGTACAATTTTAAATATGGTAAATATGACTGTGTAAATATGTTTTGAAAAAATTGGTAAGGTTACTTCAACAGAACTTCCCTCACCCCTGAAATATAATAAAACAAGTCCAGCTCTTTCGAAAAATTAAAAAATTCGATTATGCGAATTTTATTTTTGATATATATATTTTACGTAATCTCCGAAACTACTAAACCGATTGTTATCAAATTTTGTATGTGTATTAGGAATATCATGTAGATGGTTGAAGTACTAAGAAAAATTTGGCTGATCGTCCCCTCCACCAATGGGATGACGTCATCTCCTAAATTTATATATTTTTTTTAATTTATAAAATAAGATACTCCTGCACTTATGCTGTGTGAATCCATGTCGAATTCTCACCTTAGACATTCAGAATTTTTGGAAAACTGGATAACAATATTTTGTAATATAACTTTGAAACTGCAAAACCGAACTCTTCAATTTTGTAAATATTTTAGGGTTATCGTAATCATGCTAAATCGTCAAGCAAAATTTATTCTTTTATCCCCTCCCAAAATTTTGCTGAATAGATCCTATCCGAAATGTGCAAAATGTGATGGGTATATGCCTGTGATTTATCAGTGCATTAAGTTTTTAAATTTCTTATACAGGGTGACTTATAAAAATTAATGAAAGGGTCAATTTATTTTATTGATTAAATTGGACTCGGCTCACTTTGTTTTCCCGAAAATTTGGGAATACAATACTGTTACACTGCACCTATCCAAAGTGGATTTACGGGTTTTTGCAAAAATGTTAATGATCTCATCACAAAATTTTGTTAAGGGAAAACTCATTTGAAACGTACGCCCAGCACGCTTCTTCACATTTAATTTAACGTTACATACATATCTTTATTTTAACTTATGAGTTCTCATAAAAAAATAAAATTCGCATAATCAAATTTTATAATTTTTCAAAAGACCTGGAGTTGTTTTATTATATTTCAGGGGTGAGGAAAGTTCTGTCAAAGTAACCTTCGACCTTTTTTTTTATACCCATACAGCCGAATCTTATTTTTTCGAGTTAAATTTTAATTTCATTTTAAATAAAAGAAACAATTTCTGTCCACTATTGCTTATTTATTTTATTGGTATCGGTTTCGGGTTGCTAATCCTTCATCAGCCAAACCCGGATGGGCGGCCTACAATATAAAAGAACTCGCTTTATATTATTCTGAGCTAAGAATTTTTGAGCATTACAAATTAACTGTTGAAAAATTACCTCTTATCCCTAATCTCTACCCTGTCTACTACACTCTCTCAATATGTCCTAAACACCTTTTTGATAAGACTATTTAATTTTGTGCTTAAATTACTTGATTGATGGAGGCGTTGTAAATGGAGAAAGAGATGAAGAGAATGAGACAGTGTGTCAATGAACAGGTAGAATTGGCGTACGGCCATAATGAACAGAAAGGATTTTAAGAAAAGAAGACACCACCCGAATACGAATAATGAAATACCGGTCGAGGCTTTTTAGACACTTCCACGAATGTCACTATATTGATCTGAATAGGGATTTTAATTTTTTTATTGTAAGTTTGTAGAAGTAATTTCACCACGAAAGGTGACAGGGGCGGGGCAGAGATAATAGAGATATGACAGCTCGCAAAATTAAGCGACAATAGTCCTTATGTACTGTGCCCCAAACCGTCACTTTCGGGCGCGCTATTTAAATTTGAGTGAAACTTTCGTAGCGCGGCTATTTGATTACCACGGATATTTCCAATCGTAAGAATATACCAAAAGTGGTTAATCTTTCTTCCAAAAATACTAGGTTGCTCATAAATGGAAAAAGACAAGATTAAAAAAATTACAATCATTAAGTTTATTCGAAAAATGATTGTATTATATCTAACATTTGTTGGTGCTTTTGTAATGTTTACATCCTGATTAATAGTAAATGGATAAAAAAAAACATTAAATTACTCAAAATGCTTGTATTAACTTTTCTTATCCTTTAAAACTCTAAAATGTGCATACACAACACAAACTGTACAATTTTATAGCGAGGATAATAATAAAAGTACCCTCTAGCTCATTCAAAGATTGTTATTACAACCTAACGTTGAAATTCAAGGACGACACTTTAAGGGGTACAAATACAGTTATAATATTGAATGTTACCTTTTCATTGCGAAGATGACTTTAGTCACTTTTAGTTCTGTGCGGGTGTTAATAAAATTATTTTTATCCTCATATTATTAATAGTTATTTACATCACACTTTATTAGAATATAACCAAATACAAGCTATTGTTCTGTATAAAATATATGCAGCACAACCCAACTGGTAATTGTGCTTTTGATTTAGCAACATTTTGTGGGGGCTAACAAATCCCACAAAATTGTGCAACATGTAATATTTGTATAGTCTGTATTTATTGACTTCCAACCACTATCATCCTGAAACTTTCTCTTCGTACACCTGCATGTCGTAAAACCTATCTTTTGTTCGCCCTTCCCAATAATTCTTATCCTTCGAAGATTTCGAGTACCTTCTAAGAACCCTTTCGACACAACCGTTTCACCGCTCTCTACCGACCTGTCTTTTCATTTTCAAAATCACAGACAACACTCTTCACTTTTCCCTTATCTACTGAACCGACAACATTAAAAATAAATACACCACAAACGCAAGTCCTCTTTTAATCATCTGATCACACCACAATTCTTATCTGCTAATGAAGATATCTCCAATTTAAGTGAGAGGTACAACATCCCCACCATAATTAATAATTCCCAACCATCTCATAATGCCCTAAAAATAGATAGGATAGAGTACAAAGAGTTTGATTTAGCTGAACAAAATATCTTACGATAAATATGTGGATACTCAGTGGATGCATGCTTAAAACAGTCTTCTCAGATATGCTGTGAATATACAAATGCATGTGGCAGAAATTCTAGAACTACATTATTGTCGTTTCCAAGCCCACAATTCTGAAACTTTATCTTATGGCAATCTTAATGTTTCGTATGAACAGTTTGCATATTACATTGAACAATTAGAAAATGCCTTCAGTAGATAATACACTTTCGCTTCAAGTTCCCAGACAACTTAAAAACCAGCTGGCCTTAATAGCATCCATGTAGTAATCTCCCCCTTGATTACCTTTTGTCATTATTTGTGCGATTACGTATATTTTATACATTGAAATTCCATAATAGGGAACTACAGAAACAACCTAAAAAACAGAGTAAATTAATCATTTTGTCCCATTTATAGAGCATTTGCCAGTTTCATCGATTAATAATTAATTATAGCTGCAGAAAATCATCAGTTTACTTATCGATGTTATTTTTATAGAACTATTCCTGTACTTACCAATAGTATATTGTTTGTTAAAATGTATGTAACTGTAATAAATACATACATACATATGCAGTTAACATGACTTTTCTTTTATAATTTGAAACCATCGCATCATATTTAATTGAGGTTATCTCAGAGTTCGTGTTTTTCGTTCGTTATGTCACTTTTACTAGTAATATATTTAGTAACATTTAACATAGATATTAAGATATCAGGTTTACCACCACAAATGTTGTGCCCCCAACCGTCCTTTACGTCAAATTCTGTGTTCACTTCGCTCCCATGCATTTCTTATGGAGCATTAAAAAGCTGTCATATCTCTGTTATCTCTGGGCGGGGTATAAGTTATGCGGCTCGTAGTCGGGCTAGCAGTGGCGTAACGTCGATGTATTGAGAAGGGAGGCTCGGCTGAGTTATATTTCTTTCAAAAACAATTAAAAAAAGAGCAATTTCTACAAAAGAATAGGGACAACCATTTTATAAAAATAGACTTATGTAACAAGTAAAAAATTTCACGAATCCCGCATTATAAACCAGTATCATAAGCTATTTTATAGTCTTAAATCAACAGTTAAATCTTTAGGTAAAAGTGGGGATAAAAGTCTGAGAATTAGCAACCCATGACTATAGTTATATGGTTTTTACGTTTTGCCAACAAAGCCAAAAACGAAACGAAACACGGGAAAGCAGTGAGCAAGCACGAGACACAGGAATAAATGCAGACCAGAAGAAAAAGACGAGACGAGGCAAGAGAAGGAGAAGACGAGCAACGTAAACTTGTTTGGATAAATTCTTTTATTTTTATTATTTTTATTTCTTTTCTTTTCTTGAAAGTAGAGTTCTAATCAATGAAAAAGCGTACAACATATTTAGAGCATTGTAAATGTTCTTGTCAATGACAATTTAATGACAAACCCTTCTAATATGAATTAGTCGATGATATCATCATAATCAGTTACAGTTTGCAAGTATGCCTCAGCATTTGATTCTCCTCAAAAATGTTCACATTGGAAGATGGTTGGTTAATTTGAGTTGCTACGGTAATTAAAATTTAAACAAAAGTGTAGTTTTAAGAATTAATAAATGCTGGGAACAGGACCAATCATTATAACGAAAAGTTAGTTCAGGCAGAGCTACAAGAAGATACTGCCCGTTTAAATCATTTAAGAGCAAATTGTTTTGATTCCGCCAGATAGCTACAACATATTTAGACCACAAACTGTTGATAATTATCTTAACGAATTCAAACTTGTTGGGGGAAATCAGTGAATATGATATTCGAAATTTAATACACTCAATGCTATATAGACTAGGTCAAGTGATTGCCTAAAACGGAGCTATGACCAAATACTAGTTTTAAATTATTGTCAGCACTATGTGTGTTATTTGAAAACACAATTATCTCCAAGCGTATATATATAATTCAGCTCTGCAGGCCTTAAAGGCCCTGGGCTTTTTTAACAATAATTTTCCATTTGTTCCTGTCGGCTGCTTTGGATCTCCAATCTTCAATGCCTAAGTTTTGAAGATCTTTTCGAACATCGTCTATCCACTTCAGTTTTGGCCTTCCTCTCTTTTTCTTTCCTCCTTTTAGGCGGTCTAATACTTTCCCAATTGTCCTTTCCTCTGGTGCTCTTCCGACGTGGCCTAGCCATCTTAGTCTCCGTGCTCTGATTATCTTCGTGATTGTTGGTTCTCCGTATATTTCCTCGATCTCTCGGTTTGTTCTCCTTCTCCATTGGTCTAGTTTTTTATACCTCCATATATCTTTCGTAGTATTTTGCGTTCCCATACTTCCAACTTCTGTTCATTTTCGTTCATTAGCGTCCATGTTTCACTAGCGTACAGGACTGTAGGTCTTACTATTGTCTTATATACTTGTTTCTTTGTTCGTCGTGTTACATTCTTACTCCAAGCGTACTTCTAATAAATTTTTGTGTGTTGATTTGATTCTTATTTTGTCTTAGGTCTTGGGATAATAATATTACATGCAATTACAAGTTTCTTATCTTTGCTTATCGTTATTAACTCAAAATTATATAGACAACCAACAATACTATTTTAGCCCGTATCGACTTAATTCGCCTCGCTATCGCTCAGCTTTTAATTATCCATACTCCTTCACATAAAGTATCACTTAAACTTTTCATAAAATAATTATCTATTATCAAAACATCTTCGTACAGTGACGGCTATCATATTCATATCTATACCACTGAAGTTTTGTTAAGGAAAACTGTTCACAAATAAAAATCTCAAAAGTATCAGTACAAACTTTCAGACGATGAAACACTGCCTAGTGTTCAGCAGCAACGGTACTGCACATAACTTGTAAATAATAGTTGATATTCCCAAATGTCACAATCGAAATTATGGAAATTTGGGGAACTCCCCGAAATTCCATAATTCCGATTAGATGTTGGCCTTAAAGCCAATGGTCACCATATCAAAACTGTGGAAGTGCTTTTCCTGATAAAATAATATTAAAAATTATTTCTTTAATAGTCATTGTTCTGTAAATAGTAATACAATGTTTAGCCTACACCAAAAAAAATCTTTTCTCAGATCATTAGACAAACTGTAAAATTTGGTTTATGAACTTTACGTATTTGTAAAAATCGAATCGTTAAAAGTGTGGGTACATCATGAAACCAGAAATAAAGGACCATATCACACTGTACTTAAATAAAAGCAGTGAAATGGCGCAGGACACTAACCACCTCAAAGGTAATCGTAACAACACTGATTAACAAGGTGTCTGTTAAAGAATCTGTTTTCTTCTTTAAACGAATATTGTTTTGAATCTGAAAATCGTTTATTTCTTTTTGATTTAATATATAAAACATTAAAACGAAAATTTATTATAAAAATATGAGAATTTATTAAACTGACTATAACAAACAATAAGAAATTATCACTGATAATAGAATTCGATAACTGATAACTTCAAAACTGGAAGTTCCTCTTCTTGTGGCTATTGAAATCGTAGTTTCCGGCGTCGAATCTCATTACTAATTTTGGTTTTAATGGTGGCCAAGTTTCTACGCTGCAAGACTGGAAACTTCATTTGTGCTTCTCGGCACTCTTGAAAAGACGGTAGTGTTCCTTGATCGATATGTGTTTGAAAAGCTGATTTTACAGCATGTCTTTCTGGCGTAACCCAAGCGATTCTGACTGCAATTAATCATTAACGATGAACACTTTAGCGCATTTAATTTCAAAACTTACCGTGTGGTTTTTTTGTAGGTGTTGAATCAATCTTTCGAGTTGTTTTAGATTTTCTCGCTTTTATTCCTCCTCGACCAGCTAAATAAATTACAACAAAGTAAAGTGTTACAAAACATACAAACAACAAACCGTTTGTCCTGCTCTGAACCACAACAGAGTCATCTTCTTCGTCTGATATGTAATATTTGCTGCAACCTGAAATTATAAAACATCGTATAATTATTTTTATCCACTTTGTAAATTTACCAGGTTGGGGCTGGTCTGGCAAGACTGCATGAAGTTTATCATCATCTGAAATATAATACCTATTGAAAATATTCTTCGCTTTTAAACAGTCTAAATTTACCTGTTTCCAATCGATCAAGAAGATTACCTGTATCTTTCTCTGAAAAAATATTTTCCTGCTGTAATTTTTCTAATAGTACAACACAGTTCGGCGTATCTGAAGTCATAAGTCATACAAAGTTATTTTAACGAGAAATGTGGTTCCTTACCTTTTGAACCTAGTTTTTCATTGTCTTTGGCAGTTTTGCCCTCAGCTTTTTCCAATATTTGTGCCATTTTGGTAATTTCTCTTGTAACGATGGGTAGTTTATAGTGTTCTCTATGAATTTTTTCTGCATGGCCCATAAAATTAGCCAAGTCGGAGACATCACTTTCTTGTAAATTCATTGTAGCGGATCGAGTGGCAATGTGTTTTCTAAGCGTTGTACCACGCAATAGTGTTGGATTTTTGGCTCCGCAAGCTTGAGAAAATTTTCTCATTAACTGGCAAGCGCTTAAATGAGTGCTTTCATTGCCAGGAATACCAAATAGATATGGATTTTTTTCCATCACGCCTGCTTTTTTTCGGTTATTTAAAATATATTCAATGCTTTGCAACAACTCTCGATGGATTAAAACTGGGACTCCCCTTCCCAACTTACCGCGGGCCTCAAATCTTACATACTTCTTGGCTACTGTTTTGGATTCTTCCGACAAAGCATCATATATTTCTTTATCTTGTACCTCATCAACGGATTGAAAATTTAAAAAATCGGTTATCAGCACTCTTTCAATTTCCCCTGCCCTACGCCTGTTGAACAACTGTAGTGAAATTAGCGTGTAGGACGCTAAATTTAACCAGTCGTCGTATTTAAAGCCCACATTTTTTAAATTATTATAATGATTTCTTCTATTTTTTGTTAAAAAAGACGACAATATTTTAATGTCATTGTTTTGGGGTAATAATATTTTTTTCTTTCTTTTGAACTCTTTTTGGTTTTCTATGACTGTTTTATTAACAGAAATTCCAATGTCTTCAGTCAATACTTTTAAATAATTTTCAGCATTTGTTTTCTTTTCCCAACAGCTGTTTTGGATACATTGAGCAATGTATAAAGTTGCACAGTGTTTAATTAAAATACCCAAATTGAACGCGGTGGAAGGGGCTCCGTATTTACCACTTTCTGCATCTAATCTTGCTATCGTATTTATGGCTTTCACAGTATGCTCGTAATAAATAGGATCAAATATATCGGCGAAACACTGAATATTATTTTGCAGTTTATTCATTTCTAAAAAAAATGTTCCCAATAGCCTCAATCTTGTTCTTATCATTTTATACATGTGGGGTGATCTATACTTGGAGCAT